AAAGGGAGGGACTGGGTCCTGGGAGAAGCACCTGGGGGCACCAGCTACTTGTCATGCTTCCTGTTTCACACAGTTGTCACTTGGGTCAGGTGTGTGATCTGCTGGGATAGTCACGGGTCAGTTCTCAGCCAGGGCACACGCCTCAGTTGCGGGTTTGATCCCCGGTCAGGGCTGTATGGAGGCCGCCAATCATTGTTCTCTTTCCTTCCTTCCTTTCTCTCTCTCCCTCTCTCTTGCTGTCCCCTCCTCTCTATCTAAAACAAAAACATGTTCACAATACCTTTAGAACCATAGATGGAGATTTAACTGCTCTCTTTGCTAGCTTGAAGGATTACTCTCTTTTTAAAAGAACAACACTATTATTTATTTATTTATTTATTTTTGTTTATCCTCACCCAATGATATTTTTCCATTTATTTTTAGAGAGATTAGAAAGGAGAGGGAGAGACAGAAAGAGACATAGATGTGAGAGAGGCACATCTATTGGTTATCTCCTGCACACACCCCAACCAGAACCAGTGAACCTGCAAGCGAGGTATGTGCCCTTGATTTGAACCTGGGACTCTTCAGTCCGAGGATCGATACTCTATCCATTGAGCCATACCAGCTAGGACAAGGATTACTCTTTTGATGGGTGTTCAGTATTAACTATCATGAGTGCTTTAATGAATACCTTGATATGTATACCCTTATATTTATAGGATAGATTCTCATAAATGAGATTTTAGACTAAAATGTATATATATTTTTATATAGGATGCTTTGTTTTTTGAAAACCAACTTCTTAAAAAATGTCCTAATTGATTTTTTAGAGAGAGAAAGAGAGAAAGAAACATAGATATGAGAGAGAGAAACACCAATCTGCTACCTCCCATATATACCCCCGATTAGGTATTGAACCTGCAGTCTGGGTATGTGCCCTGATCAGGAATCAAACCAGTGAAAGTTTCGTACATGGGACCCCAATCAACCAACTGAGCCACAATAGCCAGAGTTTGAAAACCACCTTTTCAGGTATGCTTGACATGTAAATTCTGTATTTACTTGATGTCTGCAATTCAATGAGTTTATACACCAATGTATATTATTGTTAACTTGTTTAACAAAAAGGCTGTAGCATGGTACCAGAGGCCCCTTTTCTCTGCATCTTCATCAGCATAGAAAGTTATCATTTTTGAATTTTTGCCAATAGGATGGGTGTAATTTTCAAGAACAGTGAAGGGTCTTTAAAAACTAGTTAGATTTGTCTAGTTGTCTAGGGATGGTAGCAGAAGACAGAAAACTTTTAGTTCAGTAACAAAGGGGACATTATTACATGGAGCAAAAGCAGTAGCCACAGTTCATATTCAAATCAGTCCCTCATACCCTCCCAAGTCCCACAAGAATGATGCAGTTGGGTGTATGTGGATATCAGCACACACAGTGGGCTGCATTATAGGAGAGGAACACCGAGTTGAGGGAACTCACCACTTTTGTGGTAAGCAGGTCATGTTCATTCTTTGTCTCTAAGAACATGACCTCATTGCTCATTGTTGCTCACTGAGGAAACAACCTTGATAAATACAAGTAAAGGCAGGCAGGGCTTTGCATTTCTGACATACCCATCAGGAAGACCAAGCTGCATGCAAGGCCCATGACCAATCCCACTAGAGTGATGTGGGCCAGCTGCTTAACCCCTTCTAAGAGCTTCCTAATGAATATAAAATAAAACCTAAGTTCCTCATCAAAATGTGGTTGTCACAGTTAAACCTACTGTCAGTGAAATGATAAGGAAATATGTAGAAAAGGGAAGGTGTAGAAATGTAGCCCATAGAAATTTCTATACACATTAAGAAGGTGAACCCCTGAGTTTTGATAGATTATGGCCCACACCGGTCCATGAATCTAATACTAGCAGCAAGCCTATTTTTCCAGGCTCTCTGCCCTGGTGCATCTTCACTCTTCCTGAGTATAGCGACCACTGAACATCAAGAACACTTCCATCAGAAAAAGGAGTCATCATGGAACCACAGCTACTTCACTCCACTGGACCTCTATGCCTGATCTTTGGTATATCCCTTAACCCTTATAATTGAAGATTCAGTAACAGACTGACCTTAAACCAATTCCAATCCCACATTCTTGTCAATTTGTAATCCAGACATCTTTAAGCAATATTTTACTTCTTGTATATTCAGGCTAATAAATGAAGCAGGAATGATGGAGTTAGAATACCAACAGTTTGTAAAACCTAATAAAATAATACATCTAAAAATGATTATCTGTAGTGGCTAAATTCACAGAAAGAGACATTGGCAATAATTATGTGCCTATAGCAGAAATATTCAGCAACAACTATGAAGGCACCGTGAAACGTAAAATTGTTAGCAATTCTTATAGAATCTATGGATATAATCACTAGTGTATAGGAAGTACAGATGATAAGAGAACATGTTAAACCACCAGGAAATAACCAGCAAAATCTGTTTGAGGAGACAAACAATCTTGTTTCATCACCATACATATGGCAAGAAATGAAAAGGAAGAGAAAATGAGATACATAGATGAAATACAAGTGACTTCAGAAACAATTGCTAAACCTGAGACATAAATAACATTGATTTTGTGTTTGGGAGTTGGCATGGGGACTGTTACTTTTCACTACAAATCTTTTGGGTCAGTAGAATGTTTGAACATGGCATTGTGAGTGATGAAACCACAGCAAAATTCCTACAATTAAAAATAATGAATGAAATTCAGGTAAGTTGAATATAAGAAGGTCACACTGATTTTATAGAGAAAAGAGGGGTCAGAATGTGGCAAGAAGTGTGAGAGATCCTCTTTGGGATGGAATAGATTTGAGGATATTTGGAGGGTAAAGAACTAGTAGAGAGAGAACATTTAAGATGCAGGGTACAGAAGGCATAGCTGAAGAAGGGACAACATGATGGGTGTGGGAGGATGAAATTCAAACCATATATGCAGGAATTCCTGTCGGATGGACAGGGCGACTCTTCCTTTATAACAGAAGGCAACACATAGAAAATTCTGTGTAGGGATAACGAGGAGGTTCCCACCTCACAGTTTCTATGTTCGCTCCTCTTCCTAACCCTGATGCTAGATGTCCTCTACTTCTCAAGGACCCAGGTGTCACAGTCCCAGAGCTGAGCCAGATGGCAGCACCAGACCTTCTCAGATTTCTCTTTCCATCTTGGACAGGCAAGGTTAAATTCCAGATGAGAATGGAGCCCACCT